GCCTGGCAAACCCTAACCCCCCAGGTACCTACTATATAGGGTACTATAGCCCTTAGGGCCCTGTAGAGTAGGTACCTGGGGCGTTAGGGAAACTTCCTCCTGTGACTCCGGAGCCGCGCCCTGCATGGCGTCCGCGGGAGACGAAACGGCCATCTCACGTTTGAGGATATGAATCCTGCATTACCCATAATAAGGAAATATACAATAAATCCCATAGTTTAGGGTCCTTAAGGCTTTACCCAGAATAAGGAGTATACCAAGATTACCATAGTTTAGGGTTCTTGAGGTAATGCAGGGTTTCTATCATCAACAGTATCTTCGAAGACGATGCCAGGATCAGTCTGTCACCAGGGCCCAGGCTGGTGGAGCGGCTGCAGCACTTGTGCGCAGGAACGGACCTGGCTTCAGAATGTAGGATTTAGGGTTTAGGGTGTAGGGTTTAGGGCTTAGGGTTTAGCCTGAATAATCACCAATGCTATTTTCGGGGGCTCCTTATTATAATCATAGTTTAGTTGTGAAGCAGGTTTTTTTCCTGCTCAGCCGATAGGGATGGCGCCTCTTGACCAGGTTTTGCCTCCTGGCTATCACTTCTAGAGGTGTGAAGGTTAAGGGTCTGGGTTTAGGGTTTCGGGTCTAGAATTTCGGGTTTACGGCTGTTTTTGGGTTTTTTGTTTCCTTATCAGGGTTCATGTGCCGACGTAGTTTGTCCTCTGGCCTTAAAGTAGTCGTTATGTAGGTGCTTGAGGGCCTAAGCATCTGCTATATGGGTACATGGGGCCCATCGGGCTATGGTCAGCAACAAGAGTGTTGCTTGCAAGTATCGGGTGTCTAACTGGGGCTGGATTGAAGAAAGATCCAGATGTTCTTCAAGACGTCCTTGCGCAATGCACAAAATTCCTGAGCCAAACCTACCCTAAACCATAACACCCGAAATCCCACAAGCCCTAAACCCTAAGCCCTAAACCCTACATAAACCCTGCAAACCCTAAAACCGTATTCAGGCCCGTATACCAAGCAAAGATCCGAGAAGCCTACGGTTTTCGATTGCTTTACGGGTTGCTTTCTGGGTTCCTTTAAGGGGTCTTTTCGGGTTCCGTTTAGGGGTCTTTAAGGTTTCCTTAAAAGGGTGCTTAAAGGTTCCTTTCAGGGGTCTTTTCGCGCTCCTTTTCGGGGTCTTTAAGGTTCCTGAAAAAGGCGTTTAAAGGTTCCTTTAAGGGGTCTTTGAGGGTGCTATCAGGGTTTAGGCTTTAGGGTTTGTGGGTTTACGGCAGAAGGGTGTAGGATGGGAGGGTTTAGGCTTCAGGTTTCAGCATTCAAGGTTCCTGGGTTGCCCATCAGTTGTAAGCCCCGCGTCCTAAATCCGTACCGTCAACCGAAACGAGTACCCTAAACCCTAGACCTCAAACCGTGAACCTCATCACGAGAAATGGGGGTTTCCGAAAATAGGGGACCCTAATATAGTACCCTAAATAGTAGGATCCTTATTATAAGGACCCCAAAATAAGGTGCCCCAATTTTCGGAAACCCCCAAATAGTTGTGCCTGTCAGTCAGGTTCCAGTCTTTCGGGGCGGGCACCCACGTGGACAGTGACGAGGCATGAGCACTGATGGCTTGAGAAGGAAAAGGTTTAGGGGTTTAGGGTTTAGGCTTTAAGCTTAAGAAGGATGTCCGGAGAGGCTCTTAATTTGAGGTCCCGTATTGGGGATATGCTTCGAATAAAGTTGTGTTGTATCTTTTTGATTAAGGGGCAGGGTACTTCTTCGAGAGACGTCGGGTGCTCTAGAGCCCTGCGAGTTTCTTCTCACATTCGATGGCCCACAATAGTTCCGATGACCGTCTTCAGTTCATTTGTCTAAGAACCAACCCTGAATCCGGAACTTGAAACAAAGTGTTAACACCGAATCCCTGAACCCTAATTCCGTAACACATATTCAATAGTTATAGTGCTTATGTTCTGAGCACTTGACAATGTATAAAGCCTCTAGCCCAAAACCCTAGACTCTAAACCCTAACCCCCTAAACCCCAAACCCTAAACCCTAAACCCTAAACCCTAAACCCACAGCCTATAACCCTCAGATCGGCCCTCGTGCAAGGAGACAGACAGGACGGCTGCAGCAAGTTCCGCTGGTCCCAGTGAGGCCCAGGGCTTAGGGTTGAGGGCTTAGTGTTTAGGGTTAAGGGTTTTTAGGGTTTCGGGTTTAGGGTTTAGGGTTGTGGTTGCGGGGTTAGGACAGGGGGTGTAGTAGATGCTTGAAGTGGAGAAGTTGCTTTTATGGTGCTGACAATTTTTCTATTGTGGGCTCAGGCAAGGGTGTAGGATGGGCCCTTTCCAACAGCTGGTAAGAGCCCGGAATGTATGGTATGCGATTCATGGTGGGCGGGGGTCATACGTCCCACAGGCTTTCAAGGATGCTTTTGCCCGCAGCTTCTTTGCTGCTGCTGAGCTGGTTCCATGTTTGTTGTGTCCGGTTTCAGGATTTGGACGTATTTACGCCATTACTCCAACCAAACCCTAAGCCCGGAACAACCCTAAAGCCCATAAAGCTCTAAATCCTACAGCCCGAATCACGAAGCTCCTGAGCCGTCAACCCTTGAACCCTAATAGAGGATCATAGGTAAACCAACAAGAGGCGGCATCCGGCTCCTCGTCATCATCAGGCAGGGCATCTCGCAGCTATGTGTTGACCCCTGGAGTTTATGATTGCTTCAGTACTCTTCGGATCTATTTGGACGTTATTACAACAAAACTCCAGGCGATGATACCACCAAAAAAAGTGCTTTGTGTGGTTTTTCAGGGCACGCAAGAGCTCTAGGGAAATTCAACGCGAATCCAAATGCAACATTCACTTCTTATCTGCATGATGCCAGAAGTTCCACAGTGGTAAGCCACTGTCACTGTATACCCTTGTAGAGTAACCTGTTACAAAGGCTCAAGGGGTTGTGTGTTGGCTCTCATGTGGAGCCCTAAACCCGAAGCCCTAAACTCCTAAGCCCATCAACCCTGACGGCCTAAACTAGTTTTAAACCCTAAACCTGAAGTAAGCCGGAGGATTCCTAGGATCCAAGGCCTGAAGCTTTAAACCCCAAATCCTGCTGCGTTTGACCTTGGCGGTTGCGGGGTGAGTTGCTGGAAGCGTGGCACCCTAAACCCTAAACCAAAAAAACCTAAACCCTCGACCATAATTTAGGATTAAAACCCTAATCCCTAAAACCATAAACCCTAAACCCTAAATCCCGCTGACGGAAACGGCTGATCTTCCCTTCCTAGCAACCAATCCAAATGCTGTGAGTACTACTCCCAACCCGAAACCGCTCAATGAAGACTATTTTTTTGAACTAGTCTAGGGTTTAGGGTTTTATGCAAGGCCCTGGACCAAACCTAAGCTCCACACCCACGTCCTAAATCTCGTACGGCTGGATAACTAGTGTTCTCCGAATGTACCTTGGCTTTAGTTCTGCTAGGCTGACCGCTGCAGTGGACAAGGAGCGCGTTTCAACCCTCCCTGCTAACACAGAAACCCGACACAAAAGTCTCAACCCCTCCTTGATGTTACCAGGGTACCGACAGAGACCGAGAGAGAGATAGAGAGAGAGAGAGAGAGCGAAAGAGAGAAAGAGACAGCGAGAGAGAGAGAGAGAGAGCAAGAACAAAACAGCGAGAGAGAGAGAGAGAGAGGCAGCGAGAGCGTGTGGGCGGATGGATATGGATATGGACACATGGATGGATGGATGGATGGATGGATGGATGGATGGATGGATGGATGGATGGATGGATGGATGGATGGATGGATGGATGGATGGATGGATGGGTAGATCCTATCGATCTATCTAAAGATCGATAGATGGATAGGTAGGTAGATAGATTGGTAGATAGGCAGATAAGATGACATATACCCACAATTATTGTTGTGTTTATATGTTGAGTGCTTATTTTTGTGTATACGTTTACATACATGCATACATACATACATACATACATACATACATACATACATACGTGCATACATGCATACATGCATACATGCATACAGGCATACATGCATGCATACATGC